ATTATTATATATATATATATATATATATATATATATATATATATATATATATATAAAAATAGTCAACTAAATAAACTATAAATAGGACACAAAGAAAACAAAATATCATCATCAAGTGACTTACTGAGGATACAAAAAAAATTTAAGATATGGCTTTCAAAGTGTGGGCTTTATTCCTCATGTTTATGATGATAGGGATATGTAAGTCTTTTACTTGATTTTATCTATTAGTAATGCAACATCATACACTTCTTTCTAATATTTATTAAGTTAATTTTGAAAATCTTCTTGTGTTAAAATATGAAATGTGTTTTTCTATTAATTATAGATTCTAACATTTAATTTGATAGGTGTCTCACCAAAGGTTGAAGTGAAAGACCTTCCCAGGTGTTGTTTCAAGACAGACGCCGACTGTAAACGTCTTTGTGGCGATAAACCTCCCTATTATTGTGATGGTGAATGGTGTGAATGTGGACCATCGACCTCCCAAAGGTCGAATTATAAAAACTAGTGAAAATATAAATTAAAGAATGAAAATTTCATAGCATAAAATAGAAAGGAATAATATATTTGGAATTTAATTTTTGTGTCAATGTAACTTGCAACATGGCATTACCCAAATAACAAAGCTTATTTTCTGTCGTTTTGTTTGTATTTAACTTGCAACAATGCGTTAGCCAATACAGAAAGCTTTTTGTTTCCTTCTTTATGTCATATACCTTTATTTTGATAAATAATCTTATATTCTTATTTTGATAAATTATCTTATATTGTTATTCCTTTTTATGAGAATTTCTCTATAAAAAGTGTTAACTTCTTTTTAGAGTTGAACTCCAAAAAATAAATTTATCCACAAAACTTTGAAATCCAACTTTAAGTTGAATTCAACAATTTTAAGAATTTTCACTTCCCCCCCCCCCCAAAATTACTCACCCAAATTATAAAACAACTCCAATTTGAATTCATTGCCAAACACTACTTTAATTTTAATTTTTTTAAAATTTTGAAAATAAAAATTATTTTAAACAAATTTAACAAAAAATATGGCCAACTATTAAGATTAAAGGTCGTTTTTGCTACTTGACATGTTTTTCTGGCTGCTGCTCAAGACCTGTAGATTTAAATGCATTTCCCCCGACAAGGGGTGTCAGTACAAAATAATGTACATGGCACGTAAGATATGTTGGAAGTTAAGACAAAACTAAAAGTATTGAACGAAAAGGGAAGGGATGAAATACAACTAAAATATGCAATCTGGTTATAACAATAAATTATAAGCACATGAAAAACAATTACCTAACAGGGCCCCTATAACCTGGTAGGTACAAAAAACACACAATACATTTAGGTCCTAACGAGAATAACAATCGCTAAATACCCATATTATCCCCCTTACCTGGACACCAATAACAACATGTTCTAAACCACCTGAATGTACATCTTCCAAGAACCAATCAATTAATTAGCAATTGCTGCTATATATGTATTTTTAGAGGCAATTATCACTCTTTGTATGTTGTCCTAAAGGATTTAGTGACTTTTGATCTATTGACACTTAACTAATACCGGTAAAGACTTTAGCACCCTTTATTAATGTGTCTATTTATTGCCTCAAAAAGTTATTTTTGTTGTAGTTAATGCAAAAAATATGAGGTTCTGTGGTACAATACACATGTGCTAGCCCGTAGGTACAACCTACCTAACCTATAGACACAGACTACTCTGCATGTAGACTTGGTCTACCATGATCATAGGCACGATTTACCTTGGCTTGAGTGATTTCTCAGCTGTCTTGTCAAGGCCTAGTGGAATGCTCGAGTATAGATTCTGTATACTCCTGTAAATGGTTGGGGCCAGCCGACCCATAGATATAAAAGGGTAAGCACAATATAACAATAAATATGTATGATAGTGTATGTGTTTGTTGAGGCCAAAACAAGCTTCTAGAAGTTAGACGACAAAATATCAAAAAAATAACAACTAATCGTAATTGATCAAAGTTTATTCATAACATGTTTTCTAATCCTCTAATAATTGAGTTGAGTATCACCAGTAGACGTTATATCATTTGGAGGTAGCCAACAAAGTAGGAAAAGGCTAAAAGTCAAATAATGTCAATAGAACAATTATAAAAAGCTTAGATCTTTACGATCAACAAAGCCAGAAAATGTGTCTCTATGAAGCTTCCTCAACACGTTATTTCTTCTAGAAATAAATAAACTCAAAATTATAAATGAATAATTTGATTTTGAGATTTTCACATGCCTCTGAATGTACAACAAAAGGGGTATATTGAATTTAGTTTACTGAATATTACTATTTTTCTTCATTCATCATAACGTGAGATTATTTCATTGTTAAGAATTTTAAATTATCATTAACCAGGAAAAAGCATTGCACCATAAGATTTCTTATTATTATCTCAGCCACCTTCTTGGAAGAGTAACAATTAGATATTAAGTAACTTGGAATTATTGTGGTGGTTCAAATATCTTGTTAACTTAGGTATTTAAATCAATTTATTTTGACATGAAATTCACATATAAGCGACAAAAGTTTTGTTCATAAGATAATAAGATAAAAATAAGAATTTATGGAATTGACCAAAAATGTTTTAAAATCCATCGAAACCGTGTTTTGTGGATTTTAACAAGTGTCTCAACCTTATTAAGAATTTAACTTTATCTCTTATCCATATTTTGATTTTCAAGTAAAAGATTTTTTAATATATTTCCAAAATTAATTTCTTAATTTTCCTAAAACTAAAAAGTTAATCTGTTTTTGAATAGATATTTGCTAAACTATATGAAAATTTTTACTTGAGTTCAAAATACATAAGCCCATATCAAGGTGAATTTTTACTTTTACATTATTTCCTCTTTAATGTTCCTCCTATTATCTAATAATAGTATTTTTTTTAATTATATGATGGAGTCAACAATATAAGAGAAATCTAAAATAAAGCTACACAAACATGAAATTAATCATTGGCTCCAAAATAGGTTAAGGATTAATAAAATTAGCCCTAGCATATGATAGATGGTGCTAGCCTGAGTAACATCATATGTGTCAGAGGTTATAGATATGTTCACAGGTAATGAACCTGCATGAAATAAAAACTTTTTGTAAGTCATCAATAACATCAAATCTATTTAACAATAATACAAATCATATCATTAAAATGCTACTTACAATTATAATTTGCCCAACCAATTCTTTGTCGAGCCAAATCATATACAATGATCCTATCTTTAAGCACAATATCTGCGTAACAAGAGAGAGAATTTCGTAACAATTAAATTATGATGCAACTAGGGAACAAACAAAGATATATATCGTAAATTACATAAGGCCTTATTTTCAGTATTTTACCATCAGATAATTAAAATGTAATATTAACAGTAAAAATATATGAAAAGTAACTAATATTCAAAAACTAACCTCCTAGAGTTGTTAAGCTTAAATTCCTTCTTATAAAGTGAATGCACCACTTAGCAGCACCATCCTGTTAAACACATATAATATAACATATGAATTTTATTGTTGAAGATTTTAAATTACAAATGAATATCGAATCAAATACTTACAACAAAACCCATATCCTTGAAATAGTCTGTTGGTGTTAAATTCATGGATGCATCACCAGCGAAGTTTAGAGAAATTGTAGGAAACACCTCGGCTATGTTCTCTGAGAAACTGCTCAAGTCATTAAAGAGACCAATTAGGTATTCAATTAATAACTTTTATTAAATATTCACTGATAGAAAACAAAGTAATTCACCTTGAAGAAATGAAATAGCATGGGAAGACTGCTGATGTGATTGCTTAGCTGAAGGTGAAACAACTACATTTATCTGCAAATTAAATATTCATGTTAAGAAAAATGGTAAATTAGTTTGACTTCTTTGTACATGTACATGTTAATACATACGAATAGTTTAAATAATCTTTGTTTGATCTATACGAAAACAAGCATATCTCCTAGAACTTGAAAAGTTATGAGGAAAATAGTCTATCAAATTACTTGACATTGCCTTGTTGCCAGATAGAGCACTGAAGGTAGTGCTTACTGCCTTGATGCGTGCCTGATACGTCTTCTATGCGATAGCACATGTTAAAAACATTTAATAACAGCCCTAAGTCGTGGTTAACCTCCGAAGTTAAAAGTTTACCCTAGCTAGCTCTCAACAAACTGATTGATCTCTACACGGATTATCCGTCATCCAAGGTATGATTTGGCCATAAAATATTGTTTATTTTGGAGAATAATTATATTAGATACTACCGTGAAGATGATACAAGTTTTTTATTTGAGATAGGCACTTGTTCTCAAATTAAGGCTTGGGATGTTGCATTGAGGATGATATGCTCTTTAACTTGTGGTGGTTGTAAATCGAGTTAATGTTAGTGCTCAATTTTTTTATATGATCTTCCAAGTCGGGGATGATTACCTGCATGACGATAGAGTATGACTATGGAAGCATTGGGTCCCCACCGGATATCCCGAGTAAGTTAACTCTGTGGATCTTCTTTACATGCTGCAAGCATCTCTTGTCATGAAATCTCTGATAGTACCCTCGGTGTGATTCACATGCATCATACATGGATATATTTATGCAAAACCACTATGTTGAACATATATTAAACTCCAATTCATAACTTTGGCTGTATGATAAGCTTAGTTCTAAGAGAACTTATGGTTAAATCTATCAAGTATAAATTATGGTCAGTTAGAGGTTTCAACCGAAGAGGAGAATTCGTGCTCCTCCTGATCCCAATATTCTTATGAGCTCTATTAAGAAAGGGGAGAAAAAACAACAATGGATTGAGTTGGGCAGGACAGTGTTCTTTTTGGTAATCTAATTGCTGAGTTTGAAACATCTTAATATATATAGGTGGAGCTGGTGGCTTGTAGACCCCGTAAAGGTCCAATGATTTTATATGTAATTGCCACATACTAGAGTAGTCCACAGATTTTCCATCAAGGAAAAAACACAGGAGAATTTTGAAAGCCCACAGGCTTAGCAAACTTTTGATTGCTTCTAGGGAACTTCAAATCCAAAATGCACAACAGAAAAGCCTCTAACTGCATCCAAAATTGATAACTGCATCCAAATGCCCTTGAAACATTTTATTTCTAGTCTATCACTAGTAACAGCTTGGAGAAGCACGACAATACTAATGAGATAAAGCAATGTAAACATATTTGCAGATTATAAAGGATAGTTATCAGTGGAGATATATGAATGCTGAAACGGTGACCAGCTGGACAGAATTGTAGCCAGATTACTTGACCACTTTCGTGAAGAACGATAAGCAAATGATGAGAAATTTCAACTATACCTTACGTCAACGATAAGCGAATGACAAGCCAGATTGTTTAATTGTAGGCATGGAGTACTTGGGGCTAAAATTGGGGTACCGTTTCTACCTAGCTGCTTCACAAGGGCTTACGTATTTGCTACAATTTATGGCAAAAAAAAGAGATAATGGATAAGAACTTATCACAATAAACTTAGATGTCTATGGTGAAGAAGATCCAGGGGAGATTTACTGTCATGGAGTATCCTCTGGAGGAGTAGGAAATGATAACAACCATAGTTATGGTTACTTTATCATAAAGAAAAACAAGGGTGAAACAAGGGCACTTGGAAAAAACCCACTGTATTAGGATATTACTTTTAATAACATAACTCGTTGGATATTACTTTTTATAATGTAAAAAGTTGGATGGTATTTTTTATAATGTAACTTTTTTAATTGCTGGCAGCAATATCAGTACTTGTAAATTATGGTTGTTTGAACTATTATTGACTTAATTAGCTTTGGAGCATTGTTCTAAGAATCAATTTGTGGGGGATCAAACCGCCTCAAAATAACCTCCACTGCTTGTTACAGGGTTAGTGAAAAACCGTCACAACTTTATTATGGAAGATCTAATGTTGGGGGTTGCTGAAACATCTGTTACAGCAAATTGCGGGGTTCCTAACCCCTATAGTATGTAATAAACCCCCTATTTAGGCTTTTTTTTTATATAGAATATCTTCCATGAATGAGTTAGGGCTATACTTTAATCATTCCTTCTTTTTAATAAAACCCCAAGAATCCTCTATAAAAGAATCCTATTTCCTTGAGTTTTACAAGACTTCAGGTATGAAATCATAAAAGTAATGGTTTTTATCTAGAAAACTAAGTCTAATGATTTCTTAATAATTTTTTTTCTACTTCTTAATAGTTTCTTGATATTTTCTTGATGAATTCTTGAAAATTCTATGTTATCAACCCTTAATGAGAAACAAAGAAATTCTTCAAATATAAATTTTATGAGGCTATCTTATGTTTTCTTGACTATAATATTAGGATGTGATAGATATTTCTCATGAATGAAAAAATATGATACATGAGCCGTAACCTCATGACATGAACAAAATTTATGAACTGTAATCCTCAAAAGGTATGAACATGAGTCTTCGAACTAATCCATGAACACATGAGCATAAGGGAGATAAATGATTAATCGAGAAGGTATAATCTAAATGATGAATGCCTAAAATTATGTTTGCTGACGTATTTTAAGGATCATACAGTTGGTTCAGATGACTCATTCTTTTATGCTTCCGGTAAATGCTATGTCTCATATTTGGTAAGGTATGAGATAACTTAGCTGATCGGGCCGAGATAACACTACATGAGCTCACATGGTGGTTTTTGTTGGTTATACCGCTTACATGGTGATTTTGTTGGTTATGCTATTGTTCTCCTGTAATGAACTAAATATTACAAATACACATCCCTATGGCAGTCTAAATGACCTCATCTCTTAACCTTCCTATATTACGATCATAATTATGGTTGTTGCTTCTATTGATCTTGATATGTATGCTATGATTTATTATGTCATTTTACATACATTACTATTTCAGATGTATTTACATCCCTTTTGTTGGGAGCTCAACATTCTTTTCTTGATGCAGACTTAGGTGTGCATGCACGTGATCAAGCCGCTCCCTAGGTTTCATGTCTTATGCTATTGGTCCCTTTATTTTCATGGGTCTTCACATTCGATTTCCTAGTATTTATGATTACGTGTTTAAGGTATAACGGGGTTCTTGTTGCGGTAGATTTTACTTTGTTATGTTTAGAGGTTTCATAAATAGACAGTTAGTTATGGTTTAGTTTAGGCTTAGTTTAGACCTCTGCGTTCTTTTTTTTCAATATTATGACTTAAATATATGCAAAGAATCTTCAAATATTTTTAAAATATGTTTACACTTATGTCTAGTATCATGTAATTGAGACGCTCTGTCAGGCATTGAGTGTCAGCCCCACCTAGGATCTAGACTCGGGGCATGACAAGATAAATTATTTTATGGATTTAAATCTTAATTATTATATTTTCTTGTCTATTATATATATAATAATTTTAATTACTTGATTGTCATGTAAAATGTCAAATAATTTAAATTTAAAACCTGAACTAGAAACATCAAGAAAATATATTTGTGGTTGAGAATGATTGACTAGAAGAATACTTACAGCATTGACAACTGATTCATATGCTTCGGTGACAAGATAAACTAAACTTGTATCGAAATCAACTATAGTTCCTCGGTCACCAGAGTTTGCAAAAGCCTCTGGATCAATAGGTAAAATTCTTTCATGTACAAAAATGCTCTGCAAATACACATTGTAATGACCCCTGCAAGAATTGAAAAAAAAACTAAATGTCATGACAGAAAAATTATTTTGAAAAAAATAACAATAATTTATAAAACGTTGAACAAAATAATTATCTTGGAAAATTGTAGTATGTACTTTGATGGAACAAGGGGGGAATAGACCATACTCGGATGCAAATCTCACCGAGTACTAATATCCCTCCACCGCTACCCTATCCTTTCAAATAGTGTGAAGATGATTTCAGAGAAATTCCATGTGAAGAAAGTTGAGATACTATTGATAGTCTCTGTTGACCGAAGTCGAGAATTCCATCAACTGCTCTATCTGTCAAGATCAGGGCTCCTAATTGAGAGGTACTACACGTGTTTTGATTTTACACTATTAAATCACCTAAAGATATATTTAAGTTATAAGACTCTTATTACGATATTCGTAATTGTATAATTAGTCTGATTTTTTTGCTAAGATTGAATGTTTATAGACTAGTCTTCCCTCTTTTCAAAGGATAACAATTGTATTCTTGTATTCTTATTGGAGGTTGATTGTATACTTTATTTCGGAATTATAATGCTCTAAAAGATCTGAATAATCTTATAAAAGAATACTCACCCGAAAATAATCGTTGTTGAAGATTTGGCAATCAACGAAGTCCTTAGAATTTTGTGAAAGTAAAACAAATCTGATGCAAAATAGGCTAATAAGCCACTATTATCTGCGTAATGCAAGGAGTAAGAACATTGATTTGTTTCGATGCACTCATCTGAAGTGAATACCGAGGCTGAACATGAGATGACAGACGGAATTGATGAATTGGCCGCGTCATAAAAGTTCATCTCAACCTATAATAATATAAAATTGTTAGAAGTTAATCTAAACCTACAACTATATAATTATGTTAAAAAAAACATTAAAAGAACAAGTTTCTATGTCATACTTGTTGACTTTCAATTTTGACTATTTGAATTTCTAATAACAGATGATTTGTTATTTCCCTATTGGTAGTACAATATGGACTTTTTTTAAAATTATTATTATTATTATTATTATTATTATTATTATTATATTTTCATTATATAATAAATGTGATTTGTACCTTTTATATAAAACATAATTTATTTCTTCTCTTTTACTCAACTAATTTTCTCCTAAAATCTCTCATCCATATCAAAATTGAATTTTGAATTCTCTCATTCTCCCTCTTAACTCAGTTCCAAGTAAACGTTCAAACGTGTTTCAACCAATTTTTTTTCAATTTGTATATGTTTTTACAGTTTATCCAATTATTCATTATAACATGTCATTTTATACATGTACAAATGAATGTTTATATATATATATATATGTATATGTATATATTATTTTTCATCTTTTTTCCTTCCTTTCATAATCTAGATCGTGCACTAGAGTTGTCTCTTAAGAAAATTATGAAGATTCGTGCATTGTTCTAACTTCTCCAACTATGCTTCCTCTTCGAGGTACCTGGGATAGTAAAGTTCTTATTAAGAGACTGAACAACTGCTCGAGAAGATCCCATTAAGTACACTTTACTCCAATTGATTCAAAATGATGCACTCATTCGTGCTTATCTAAATTGTGTGATAGCAAATAATATGATATACTATCAAACCCCTTCTTGAACCTTTATATAGATGATACCTTTAAGGGCGAAGTATGTTCTAGAGCGCTACGGTAGTGTTGTCACTCAAAATATAGTGTGATCTTTATGAGCCATTAGAAGTAGAATTACCCTGAATTATAAGTTCCAAGTTGGAAATCTAATAATCTTAAAGAATGGTTATAGTGATGGAGTAAAGTATGTAGTTGCAGTCAATTTCCAGTAATTTAATAGAAGAATGATAGGCCTCATGTGTTGACTAAAGTGTAATCAATTTGTGTAGATTTCATGTTACTAGCACATAGAGATTTATTGATTAGGTGACTTAAATTATTCTATCTTGGGTAGTATAGATCAGGTTTAGGTGGTGGATGAAAGTTAAATGTGTGAAGGATTTTACGTTAATAATTTTGTAATAAGAGTGGCCAAGCAACTCTTATTACAGTCTCCCTTTGTGAGGTAGTACGTGATGGAAAAATATTTAGGAATATGAGGACTCTATGCCTTAGGGTGAGAGATGTGCACCCAAGATAGTATAGTATAGTCGTGTGAAGCTCTAAGCTCATAATTTGTTGTGTGTTATTTGTCTGTATCCTTGAGTAAAATTAATATAGGCTAGTTTAGGAAATTATATGAAATAAGTCAACAAACATAGAATGTCTGCTTTAGACCTCAGGGAGAGATGATAGGTGATGTATTTAGAAAGAGTATGATGTGATAGAAGTTCATTCATACTCTAGAGTATTCCTCAGATTTTAATTGTCATTTGTTAGAATAGGAATAGGTTTGTAGAATTCTATTGATATGCGAATAGGTTTGTACAATCCTATTAGAATAGGAACAAAAATATACAATCCTCTTAGAATAGGGATATGTTTATCCAATCCAATTAGAATAGGAATAGGAATACTAAATAGTATCCTACTTGATAGAGGATTGTATTCAATGGTCTATTAATAGGTTCTTTTGTAAAAATGTAGACACAAAAGCAATTCAATAATATTACTTTCCTATATTTTTCACATGGTATCAGAGCCTTTACGATCTGGGTAAACAATCAAAGAGCTTCCACTGTTGGCGGGCGGCTATTACTCATATATTCCGCCGTCCGGCCAATGATTATGTTAGCAAAAGTTGGGTCACCGTGTTTCTTTCTAGTGACTATTTTTCCATATCTAATTTTTGTAGCATCGCTCCATTATTCCGGTGACTGCTTTTTTATATCTAATTTGTGTAGCACCGTGCCATCATATCATTGACTATTTTTTCATATTTAATTTGTGTAGCACTGTGCCATCATTCCAGTGACTACTTTTTCATATTTAATTTGTGTAGCACATGCCATCCTTCTTGTGACTACATTTGTTTTTGCATATCTTATTTGCATCGCACCGTGCATCTCTCCAAGCTACTTTTCATATTTAATATGTGTAGTACTGTGGGTTTCTTCTGAACTACTTTTCATATCTGAGTTGCATAGCACCGTGTGTGTGTCTTTTCGGTGAATCCTCAGATTTTATTTGCGTAGCTCCATTCGTCTTTTCGGTGACTCCTCAAATCTGATTTGCGTAGGGTTGTGCCATCGTTCCAATCATACCTATATGATTTATCTTTTTCATTAGGATCATGCCATCATTCATACCCTACCCATATTATTTTCCTTTTTCAATGGGGTTGTTCCATTAATTCGAACTATCCTAGTTAATTTCTATTTTCTAGTTGGGTCGTGACATTATTCCAACCCTGCCTATATAATTTTATTTCTTAGATTGTGATCACTTTTAGCCATCAAACCTAATACTTCGGCATATGAGCATGTTCCAGTCTGTTTTTTGCTGACATGTTTAATATTGACTCATCTATTGATTCCAACATGATCCATATGATTTATACTAGGTTTTGAGCACTTTTTTTTCTCAAGGGGAATTTAGTAGCCTTGTATGTCGATTATGTGAGTCACTCTATAGTTTGAAGCAGTCTTTGCAGGTTTAGTTTGGGAAGTTCAATACTGAAATTTTATCTTTGTGTTTACTTACATTATGCATCAAATCCAGTATTTAATTAGAAAACAAACACATTGAGATTGATTGTTAATTTTTTGAAGTCGACTGGTCAACTTGTGAATATCTCACGAAGCTCCTCATCGGTTCTCGTGTTAATTACTTTTGTAACAATCTAAGTACATGAATTGTATGCAATAGCTTGAGGGGGAGTGTTAGAATAGGAATAAGTTTGTATAATCCTATTGAAATAGGAATGGTTAATACAATCTTATTAGAATAGGAACAAGTTAATACAATCCTCTTATAATAGGAATATATTTATACAATCAAATTAGAATAGGAATAGGCATACTAAATAGTATCCTACTTGATAAAATATTGTATTTTATGGTCTATAAATAGGGTCTCGTGTAATAATGTAGACACAACAACAATTCAGTAATATTCTTTTCCTATATTTCTCACGGTTATGAACCTCTTCTCATATGTCTCATATCAAAGATTTATTCTATTGATCCATTCTAATTTACTTTAGAAAGATTAACATCTATGTGTTGGGTTTAGCAAAGTGTGAAAGGGAAAAGAAAAGAGAGAATATGAAAAGTAAGGGAACTAATTTTGAGGGAATATGAAAAGTCATTTGCAAAAAGCAAACGAAAAGTCATTTCTCCCATATCGGCAAAAGAAAGGGAATTTATTGTCCTTATATAGGGAAACACTTCCTTTACTTCTTAAAGAGGTAAGAAGAAGTTTCCCTCTCGCGCCGTCGTCGTCACTCGCTCGGCCTCAGCTTCGACTTTGACTTCGGCTTTGACAAATGATTTGATTGATAAATTTTTTGAACAAAATTTATTTAATCAATTTTATTTGATCAAATAAATCCTGTTAATATTATCTCTAATAAATTAATTCAGAATGTTAGTTATTTAGTTAATTAACAGAATTAATTTGCGTGTAACGGTAACATTCTGAAAAGTTGTTACTTTCCAAAAAGTGGTTACTTTTCCCAAAGATAAATTTTCCGAAAAGTTATTCTTTTTCCAAAAGACACAACTCTCTGGATAAAACAGGCTTGAACAGATTTTTTCTGAACAAACACGATTCTTGCTGAAAATGGTTATAAAAGGAAGTCATTTTTCATTTTTTCAAACACTGAAATTTTTCCTTCTTTGCATATATTTTTCTCTCAAAATCAATGTGTCGATCGACTGAGTCTGTGTGACTTGTTACTATTCTTAAGTTCGCTGAATTTAAAGAAGTTTGAGATACCACTATTTCTTTAATAGGATTAATCCATTTTTTCTTGGGAGAAATTAATCCATAACCTAGGGTACAGTGAGGGAATTAAATTTCTTAAAGAGACACAATAATTTCTTTGGACTCGAATTATTTTTTGTTTTCTGTCAACTTGTTTCTGTTTCTGTTTTGAATAATCTTATAAGTACAGTTTAATAACAATCTTAAGAAATTTAAATAATTTTATATATTTGAGGTTTCTCGAGATTAATACCTTTAAGGTTTTCTACTCTGCTTGAATATTTAAAATTCATTCGATGAACGATTAAAAGAACATAAAAACTTTATCGCTAAATCAGAAATAGTCTGTGTAAAAAGATTTATTCTTTACTGTTAGTATTTCAAATACTAAAATTATCTGATATTTGTGAATGCTAGAACAGTGAGTGTTGCAACAACATCGGTTGCACACAATCATTCAAATGTTGCCTTAGTGCTGGCTGAGAAACCTGCAAAGTTTTCTGGGGTCGACTTCAAGATATGACAGCAAAAGATGTTCTTTTATCTCACTACGTTTAGTTTGCAGAGGTTCATTAATGAGAGTGTTCCTTTTATGTTGGATGATACTCCGCCAAAAGAACAATTCTTGGTAACAGAAGCATGGACACACTCAGATTTTTTGTGTAAAAATTATATTCTGAAGGACCTACAAGATGATCTATACAATGTGTACAGGAATGTCAAAACATCAAAAGAACTCTGGGATGCTTTAGAGAAGAAGTGTAAAACAACGGATACCGGAATGAAGAAGTTCATTGTGGCAAAGTTTCTGGACTATAAGATGATAGACAGTAAGACCGTCGTCATCCAAGTTCAAGAACTGCAGGTCATAATCCATGATCTCCTTGCTTAAGGTATAAATTTATTTAATGCCTATGTTAGAAATATTATATTTTTCCTTAATACTCACATAATCTTTAATGTAGGATTGATTGTGAATGATGCCTTTCAAGTGGCTGCAATTATTGAAAATTTACCTCCATTGTGGAAGGATTTCAAAAACTACTTGAAACATAAATGCAAGGAGATGACTGTTGAAGATCTCATAGTAAGGTTGAGAATCAAAGAGAATAATAAGGCTGCATAAAAGAGGTCACGTGGTAACTCAATAATATCTGGAGTAAATATTGTTGAAGAAGATTCCACTAAAGTAGAGAAAAGAAAGAAAACATCTGGTCCAAAAAGCAATCCTCCTGAGAAGAAGTTCAATGGAAACTGCTACAATTGTGGTTAACATGTTCATAGTTATAGTGAATGTCGGGGTCCTAAGAAGGAAAAGAAAAATAAGTATCAAACAAACTTGGCTGAATCTAAAGGAGAAATGGACGATCTCTGTGCAATGCTTTCAGAATGTAACTTTGTTGGAAATCCAAGAGAATGGTGGATAGATTCTGGTGCCTCATGCCATTTTTGTGCCAACAAAGAATTATTTTCATCATATACTCCAGATCTATAGATGAGAAGTTGTTTATGGCAAACTTTATTATTGCAAAGGTGGACGGAACTGACAATGTCCTATTAAAATGACATCAGGCAAGGTGGTGACTTTGAATAGGGTCTCGTATGTTCCAAATTTGAGAAAGAATTTAATTTGAATTCCAGTTCTGACTAATAATAAAT